ATTTTCACGTCATAAGTGGTCGTGTTAAAAATAGATTTGAACTATTTATTTATAAATCTATGTAAATGGACGATTCAGATCTACTTGTGGCATGATTACATTATTGTCCCGTGTGACAGTGAATAATTGTTTTTCCTACTAGATATATTGGGTAGTTTCTACAAACATAATAAATCAGAGATTGAATTTGGCACTTATTCATTTGCCAGTTTTGAAAACTAGAAAAGTGTATCTATATTGTTTCCCAGTAAACATGTCCAAATTCTTTTTATCTTCATTCATACAATAAATGTTATATATATGTATAAAACTTATTATATTTAGAAAGATAAATTACATTTATTTCTCTCAAAATTTGCGTTAGATTTTGTTCACTTCCGAATATTTTGGCTTGAAAATTTGATTTATTTTCATTTAAAAAAAAATAGAAATATTAGGGACACAATTTTTGAAAAAAGAGAAATAAGGGTATGAGTGGAATTTTGAAGTGTAAGGAGATAAAATAATTTCTAATCTTTTTTTTTTTTTTAAAGGAAGCATAACTAAAAAGGGTGTTTTTGGCCAAAACCCTCTCCTTGGACCATTTTTGTGATGTAAAAATTTTATTTGAGTTTTGTTTAGTGACAATCTATTTATAAATGACGGTAGACTTTTACTTTGGCCAAAACTCCCTTATTTATTAATAATTATAGTGACTATAGTGGTTAGTGTTGATAATAATATTTTACTATTTAAAAATAAAAATTTTACAGTAATATTTATTGTAAATCAGGGTAAAATTTTACTATTGACGTTAATTTCGATGGTAAAAATTATATTTTATTTTTTTAAAAGAATTTTATAACCAACATAAAACTTGTTTGATAGATATTGATAAGAAAATTCTAAAAGTACTAATTTTATTAAAAAAACGACATTTAGATAAAAAAGTTATATCATTTTAAAATTTTAAATTTTAAATTACTCAGTAAGAATATTTTGATAATAGTGATGTGTGATAGACTTTTGAAAGAAAAAAATTGTGTTTGTCGTTAATGTATGCAGTTTTATTATGAAGAGATTTTGATTAATAGATATAAAGAGTTTTTTTTTTTTTAGAAGCTACCAAAAGAGAAATTGGGAGAGACAAAGGAGCAACAGTCATCTTAATAAATTAACGAAATAAATGGAATTACTATATTACACTCGCCTTCATTCCTTACTCTAAGTCCTTTGCTTTACATTGGGATGAGTTATTTATAGAAGTAGGTTAAAAGTTAATTTTTTAATTTTTTCGGTTGTTTTTAAAATAATGTATAAAAAAATAGAGAGGTAATATGACTCAAAAAAGTTAAAAAACTAAAAAGTGGATTTTTAACCCAATTGACAAAATAGGCTTTTGTAGTAATTTTGTAACGCCCCGAAAATATTTCAACAAGAACGACCCACATTAATGATCATTCGCTAGACAATAATAACAATCCTTCCATCTTTCCATATTCGATTAAAAGAGTTTAATACAAAAGTCCCACATGCGGTATACATACAACGATATAAGAGAACACCTAAATCTATAGCATGTGAGACATCTAGCTGCAAACAAGATAAATAAGATGCCCTTACGGGCTACAACTTTCAAGGCTTAAGCCTAGTTACACAAAAATGGTCTCTCGGACCCAAACCAAAAATAGCCCTCGGCTTTACAATTAATCACAATAAAATAAGAGTGCACTACTCTTCTCAAAATACTTTTACGCCCTCAATTCGACGGGATCACCACATCTTTGCCTGCACCAAAACCCATAAGGGTGAGCATATAGCCCAGTAGAGAAATCCTTAACAAAGTATGTACATTTATGCAAGGTTCACAATATTTTATGTAAATGCATGTGTTATGCCATGCCATTTGAAGGAAATCTCATATTATGCTTTTCTTGAAAATCACCATGCTTTTAGTCAACAGTTATGCAACCTCATTAATTTCCACACTTCCAATTTTAAATCATAAGGGGGCGGTAAATACATCACTGATAATCCCTAGGCTAATGTCTGCAAGTAGACTCTACGAGTACTACCAAACTGTCATTTTTACCAGTATTAACCAGAAGGCTTGACACCTATCTGCGCGGCTTTCGAGTCTTTCACCCTGGACACTCAGACCAACTTATCAAATTCATCTACACCCCCTATCCGGACTTACCAACGTATTTACCCCATTTGCATTTCCATTAGTTCTCATTACAATGATCTTTCTCAAAATGAATGCTTTTCCAACTCATGTCATGATATGCAAATAATGACTTTAAAACAATTGAAATTATGATGCAACAACTACTAACTCATAGCATTCTTTTATATTCAACAAAAGAAACATGTCTACAACCATATTCAACATCACATTTTCATTTCCTTCTTACCACGTTCTTTCACAAGATACCCATGCGTCTCCAACGCATAATTACACTTTCTCATTTCACACAATAGCCATGTGTCTTCGACACACCACAACAATTCCTCAACATTAATTCATCATTATACATGTTTCAAAGCATTCTAGTCATTTCAAGATTTCGTGAGAATTTCAATATCAACCTCCAAGTTTTGAATTCTCAAGGTCAATGGTGTTCAACAACTATCTTCTCACAATAAAATAATTTTTTTTCCCATGCCGCTAGCAACAATCTTAAAAGTAAATTCCTCATTCTCATATATCAAGGAAATTATCACTTTTCTTACAAAAATGTAAACTCTACACTCACACACGCATATAAACACAAGAAAAGATATTTCTTCATGGATTCCCATGTTTTCACAAAAGCCCCAATTTCTAGATTTTTCACAAAATCTAAACATTTTGCATCTTCTTTATGAACTCTCTCCATACATATCAATCTCAATCTACAAGGTTCCACACTTTTCAAATATTCTTTAAAAGAAGATGAGATGAGTTTTTCTTTAAGCAAAAATCAACAATTTCTTGAGCCCTAGGCTCCATTTTCGAAATACATAGAGGGTTTCATAAAAATCAACAAAAACTTGAATAAACACACATATAACTTAAAGGAAACCCTACCTCAAAGGCTTGAGAAGAAGCAAGATGAAACCGTAGAGTTAGAAGATGAGAGAGAGCCTTGGATTTGCTTTCACCAAATGAAACCCTAGCTTTGATTCTTCAAGATTTTGAAAGAGATGATGATGTTCTTGACCCAAGATGAGCAAAATCAAAGAGGTGTAGATGTTTGAGGGGTTTTCTAGAGAGAAAGAGGAGAAATATATGTTTTAGAGTGAGAGGGAGATGAGTATAATGAGAGATATATTCGGATCAAAATGATACAAAAAACAGAGTTTCGGACTGCCTAGTTGGCCGCTTGTGCGGCCTTTTTTCTCCGCTCGTGCACTCTAGACAGTAGCAAATTTTCTGGGTGTCAAGCTTGGCCGCTTGTGCGGCCCCTCCCACCGCTCGAGCGGCTCACTTTCACACGTGCGGCCTTGGGCCCCACACGTGCGGCCTTGGCCCAGTAGCTCACAAATTCCACTTCGTCCCCGGCACCCCGAATTCACCCGTGCACCCTCCGGGACGACTGAAAATTCAACACCAAAAGAAACAAGAATAGGAAACCACCACCGGACATTTCAATTCGACGAGAATAAAAAGAGAATGAAGCATAAAAAGGAAAGGAGAAAAGGGAAGAAAAGGCTGGTCATCACAAATTTTCTTTTATCCCATATCATATTAAGTACGAGACAAATCGGGAGTGGTGGGTGCAGGACAAGAAATGGATTAATTTTATAAGTTAAAGAATAAAAATATTAACAAAAATTATGAATAATATAGTATATTACGGATAACAATTTATACTTAATAAGAATTATAAGATATAAGATATGAGCAAAAAAAAATATAAGATAAAAAATAAATAATGCATAACCATTTCAAACTTCTTAACAAGTGTTTTTAGGGAAATCGTTTACAAAATACATATTTTTAATGCTTCTTTTGTAAATCCCAAGTTTTTTATTTGTGACAAGCTTTAATTATCCTTTTATTTTTTTATTTAATTTAAAAAATTTAAATCACTAGATGGTCGTTTGAAAAAAATATTGTCCTCAGTTTGAAAGTTTTGATGATTTTTATAAAATTGACGGTTTAGATTTATTTTCCAAATTAAAAGTTTTAAAAGAATTCACACAAATATGAGGAAAGGAAGATACACCAATCGACATACTAAATTATATTTTAAAAAGTCTAAATTCTTTTTCAAATGCATGTATGACTTACAAAATATTATTAACAATAATTGTAACACTTGCTTCTATAGGAAAAAGTATTTATAAAATTTATAAAGTCCTACCTATGGTTAATTATATCACAAGAAAGATTAAGTGTATTTGCAATTTATCCTTGAAAATGATATGTTTAGAAACCTGATTACAAAAGCTTAATTAGTAATTTTGCATCACAAAAACTAACAAAAATTAATTTAGATAAAAAGTATCATTTTAAAATTTAAATTATTAAATTACTCACTAAAAATATTTTGGCAATAGTGATGTTTGCTGGATTTTGGAAATAAAAAAAAATTTATGTTTGTCCTTAATATATAAAGTTTTATTATGAAGAGGTTTTGACTAAATTCTTTAATTAAAAAATAGATATAAGGAGTTTTATTTTTATTTTAGAAGCTACCAAAAGAGAGAAATTGGGGGAGACAAAGGAGCAACAGGAAACTTAATAAATTAATGAAATAAATGAAATTACTATATTGCACTCACCTGCATTTCTTACTCTATTGGCATGTTTGATTGGAAGGATTAAAGCATGGGATTGGGATTATTAATCCGTGGGCCCAATCATCCTATGTTTGTTTTGACATTTTGGTTTAGGATTATTAATCCAATAGATAATTAATCCAACAAATTTGTAGGATTATTAGTAATGGGGTAGGGATGGGATAGTTAATACCACACTAATTTAATAGGATTATTAATACTTCACTATTAGTGTTGTGAATCAAACATGACCTTAAGGGAATGCGAGATGGTATGCTTAGAAAACTGCTCTTGTATGGCTTACACAAATTTAGACATAAGAGGAGGTGGAAGTGGTTGCTTGCTTTGGTTTGGTGAGTTGACTGATATAAGAGAGTACAGTGCAGATGGACCAGACATTTATATAAGGACGGCTTCCTCTGAGTTAGGTAAGAATTCAAACAAAGATTAATTAGATTATATATATGTAAGAACCATATAGTTAACTTTACTGAACATTTACATTTCTTCCTCAAAAAACTATATTACATTTCTACATCTAACTACAATTTAGCAAAAAGAGAGTTCATTTTGGTTTCATCTTGAACGTTGATTTTTGTTGTGGGTGTGCCTCAAATTCAATGCAAATAATTCTTATTGTCTGTCTCAATCCACGTGCCCAGCCTCCTAGTAGGCCCAGCTTGTATTTGTATTTGAATTTGAGTCTATTTTGACCCAGTTAATTATTTTTGGTTTTTTGTATGTATTGGATTGTTTCGGAGTTCTAGGGTTTATGATGATCAAATTTTATAAAGTTGAATCCGTATGCGTTTTATCCCTAGTGATAGAAGGTGTAAGCATTTCTAATTTTAATTTTATATTTAGTGAATAAATAAAATATTTTAAAGTAGCAAAAAAAATATTAAAAGTTAAATATAAAGGTGTAAGTATGTTTCTTCCCAAGGCGTCGAAAGCGAAATCAGCATCCTTAATTTAAATTATCGAGTTTATCCCTTGAGCCTTAACTTTGCTTCTTCTTTTTTTCTTTCTTTTTTTTTTAACATGATTTTTCCTATGAATATAGTTGTCAAAGAGGTTATTCTTTTCTTATGTTTAAACAATCTACTAGACTAAGTTTAACGAGAGTCTAAGACAAGCTCTTTATATGATTATGTGCAAAAGGCATACAAAGTGCGCTTGAGGCGCACACCTTAGATTGATGCACAAGTATTCGGGGAATATCGTCCAAAAAGCAAAGCCTCAATCTGTATTAGCCTACAAATTCTTGTGTGCTTGTGTGTTTGTTTTGTTTTAGCTTTTCTCATCCCTTTTGCCATAACAATTTCAAAATATAAAAGGTTTTCAAGGGTTTGAAATTGAGATCAATCCCTTTAAGTTTGTGCTTTCATGATCATATTATCTAACTAATCAATGGACCATTTCTTTTTAAATGGATTGATGATTCAACAGTCCAACAAGTCGGCTTGAATGGCAAGAAAAGAAAGATAGTAGTAGTGACCTTGGCAATTTTAATTAGACTTCTTCTGCTGGGTATGAGCCTAATCGTGTATCTTCGAAAAAGGAAAATGAAGAATTCACAGTTGAGGAGAGAAGGTATATATCCCATATGTGTCATTCTGTGGCAAACTCTGTAATGGTATGTTATATTTTGGAACTAGTTGTCATATTGATATCCATTCATCCCGAGCTTTGCAGGAAATCTGATGCATAACTCTGAACAAGGTCACACTGACAAAAGCCAAACGGAAGATCTAGAGTTACCATTGTTCGACTTAGCTGTAATAGTTAATTCCACAAATAACTTTTCAATCAACAATAAGCTCGAAAAGGGTGGTTTCGAACCTGTTTACAAGGTAACAATGTAAAGACACTCTTATGTAGTCTATAGGAATGTGATCGATGCCCAATCTCATGGAGCCTATGCAGAAGCTACAAAACCATTCAACATTTTTATCACTGCTTTTTCCTAAATAGTAATGCTATATATATATAAATATATATCACAAAAAGGTGCATAGAATGTCGTGCTATAGGCTGCAGCACTGTATTCATCTTGATGTTTCGGCGTCCACTTTTTGGATAATATTCTATGGTCCTATACTTACTGTTCTGTAAAACCTTTTAATACAGAACCCACCGTTCCGGTTGTAAAATTTTTATATGTACAACTGCTTTTGAGAAGAGTAGTTTTATATATTTTTTTCAGCATCCAAAGAAGATAATTGGTTTGATGCATCTTTTCTCACGTAGGAAACTCCATAAATCTATGTAATTATGTATTCAAGTAGTTGTAACATAAATCATTAATTTGTCATGGCTGCACCTATTAAAACAATGTCTGCCAGAGCAACATAAAAATAGTAAGTAAAAGATATAAATAAAATGAATCGGGAAAAAAAGAAGGAAAAACATGTGTTTTCTTTCAATATAATTCTAATAGAACAACATTCTATCAGGGTATACTGGAAGGAGGACAAGAAATAGCTGTGAAGCGGTTATCAAAGAATTCTAGTCAAGGACTTGATGAGTTCAAGAATGAAGTTATCTGTATTGCCAAACTTCAGCACTGAAATCTCGTGAAGCTTCTAGGATGTTGCATTCAAGGAGAAGAAACAATGTTGATCTATGAATACATGCCTAACAAAAGCCTAGACTATTTTATATTTGGTTTGGCTCTCTTGAATATATACCACAACGATTCCACTCTCAGACCAGCCAACAGACTTTCTTTCTTTTTCTTTTTTGGTTTCATGTAAAGCTTTTGATATATTTGATAATGGGAACAAAATTATATGTGGTTTTTTTTACATGTGCATTTGCATGAACTTAGTTTCCAAAATTTTGGATTTTTCATTGTGGAATACTGTTAAATTCATGCATCTAATTAGCAGGAGCATGGACTAAATCTGGCAAAAAATTGGTCAGATCAAACAAGAAGAATGCTACTGGATTGGCCAAAGCGCTTCCACATTATTAATGGGATTTCACGGGGGCTTCTTTATCTCCATCAAGATTCCAGGCTAAGAATTATTCACAGAGATCTCAAAGCTAGCAATATTTTGCTAGATATTGACATGAACCCAAAAATATTAGATTTCGGATTACCTAAAAGTTTTGGAGGAAATGAGACAGAAGCAAATACAAAAAGAGTGGTTAGAACATAGTAAGAATCTCTATAACTTGTTTTTTTCTAGTTCACTTATTCTTCAAAATCCAGTTCTTCATTCCGTGTTTTGTTGCAGCGGCTACATGTCTCCAGAGTACGCAATAGATGGGCTATTTTCAGTAAAATCGGATGTATTTAGCTTTGGCGTTTTGATGCTAGAGATTGTGAGTGGAAAGAAAAACAGAGGTTTTTATCACCCAGGTCACAGCCTCAACCTCCTTGGCCATGTAAGTGTACTAAGATTAGAAGTAATCTTATATGGATGTGTTCTAATAAGGGTCAAAGATCCTTCGTTCCTAAATTCTCTACGCCTTCTGTTACGAAACACTCACAGTTGTTGGATCACTTGAGAATCTTTAGGCATAATCTAACTGTGAGTGTCTTGAGAAAGAAGAACCGAGAAATTTGGAGATAGACGATCGTGTCTCATACTGCTAATATTATAGTGGATTATTCAAGCATGGAGACTCTATGAAGAAGGCAAGTCATTGGAATTGCTTGATGAGACTCTATGGGACTTGTGTTACCAAACTGAAATGTTGCGATCAATCCATGTGGGTCTTTTATGTGTGCAAGAAAGTCCAGAGGATAGGCCAAGCATGTCATCTGTAGTTCTGATGTTGAGCAGTGAAGCTACATTGCCTCGAGCTAAACAGCCTGGCTTTTTCACTGCTAGAAATGTTCTTCAGCCTGGTTCTTCATCAAGCAAGGAAGCAACAACTTCGGCCAATGAAATCACGATTACTCTATTGAGTGCTCGATAGAAATTATACCATGTACAAGGTGAATGCTTAATCATTGTTTCTAGTTGTAACAAGTTTACATGCACAAACTTAAATAAAAAAGTATCAAGAACATGTACTCTTTTTTGTATACAAATCTGTCACATCATTTGGTATAAATTTTCTATATAATTTTCATGTTTGCATATCATTACTCTTTGTTTGATGTAATAATTCTAGTTTACATACTTGTACATGTGAAAGGGAACTTCATTTTGAGAATAAGCATGTGTCTTTACAACTTAGCACCAAATGTTTTTTTATTTGTGAATTAGCTAATTCCAAACACATTATAATGTTATATACAATTGCTATTGGGATTTGCATTCTTTATATTCATATATGTATGTGAAACAACATTCAAAGTTTTCAAATAGTCAACACAAGACAAGGAAAAATAACTAAGCCAGACTAAGCAAGAGACATAGCTAAAGTCTTGATTGTAAGAAAAGAAAACAGGGCTTAACATTGTGTTCATTAGCCAAGATCGTTGAAGCCGTTTGCCAAGAAAGATAGCCTTGACATTGTGCTAATTTGCTAAAGACTCAAGGGTTGGACCATAACAATTAAACATCACCACAAATTGTCTTCTGTCACGAAAATTATTTCACATATAAGAAGTAGTCATGTCATAGAAAAGGATGGTTTAAATCTATTTGTAACATGATCACATCATTGTCATATATGACAATGCGTAATTGTTCTTCTTATAAGACATTGGGTAGTTTCTAGAAACATAATGAACTACAGATAGAATTTAACGCTCATTCATCAGTCAGTTTCTAAAACTGAGAAAGTATATCTATATTGTTTCTTAGTAAACATGTCCAAATTATTTTCTCTGTCATGTATACAATAAATGTTATTATATATATGGGACAATTACAAAATAAATCTCAAAATTTGAACCTTTTAACAAAAATAAACTCTTAATTTTTAATTTTGCCAATTTAAACCCTAATCTTTTTATTTATTTTCAATTTAAATCATTAACATATTTTTGTCAAGTAAAATCGATAAAAAAAAAGAAAAAAAAAGAGTATTTTACAAAAGATCTAACTATGTATGTTCAAGCTTCGAGCCAACAATCTTGTGTAGTCCCTCCAATTAGTATGACCGATAGGTTAGATGGAGTCAAATCCTCTAGTGACTAGTTGAATGACCCGCAAGTTCAACAAACTCCAAATCCTTCATTTATAGCTCCTCCCTCAATTGTTAATTATTAAACTCAATATAGATTTACATAAAAATAAATAAATAAATAATACTTCGTAGCTCAAAATTCCTTTGCCCCAAATGGCTCGATTGCCCAAAACGGTCGTTTTGGGCAGTTTTTTTTTTTCATCTTATATCTCTGAAATAGAGGGAGGAAGAGAGAGAAGAAAGAGAAAGAGAAAGAAAGAGAGAAGAGAAAAGAAGAGGGAACACACACACACTCACACACACACAGAGGCTCCACCCATCACCGACGCTGCCATCACTGGCACCGCCATCCTCTGAGTGTATACATAGATAGATCTGTTTGTCTATACATATATCTGTGTACCTCTGTGTGTGTGTGTGTGTGTGTGTGTGTGTGTTCCACAATCTGTTGATGACCTGTGTGTGTATGTCTCTCTATTCCCCAATCTGTTGATGATCTCTATGTGTGTATAGATCTCTCTCTCTCTCTGTGTTCTGAGTTATGAAAGAAGAAAAGAAAAAAAAATAGAAAAAGAAAAGATGATGTGTGATGATGATGATGATGTGCTGTTGGTTAATATGATGATGATGTGTGATGACGATGATGATGACGATGATGATGTGTTGTTGTTTGATGTTGATGCTCTCTCTCTCTCTCGGTTGGTGATGATGATCGAAGTTGGTTGATGCTCTCTCTCTCCTCTCTTCTTCTTCTTCTTCTTCTTCTTCTTCTTCTTCTTCTTCTTCTTCTTCTTCTTCTTCTTCTTCTTCTTCTTCTTCTTCATCTACTTCATCTTCATCTTTGCTTCAAAGAGAAAAGAGGGGAAAAAAAAAAAAAAATCCAAAACGACTTCATTTTGGAACTCGGGCCATTCGAGCCTCAGTATTTTTGAGCTACAAATCGGAACTGTACATAAAATGTCTAAGATATTATTTTTTATTGAGTTAATGACTAAAATATTCATTTTTTTTATTAATTTACTTAACGAAAACTTGCAAATGGTTTAGATTAAATATATATATATATATAGGGTTTAAATTAAAAATACAAGATTTATTTTGTTACAAGGATCAAACTCTAATATATATATATATATTTTGTAATTTCCCCTGTATATATATAATTTATTATATTTATATTTAAAAAGATAAATTATATTTATTTCTCTCAAAATTTATGATCGCTCTTAATAAAAAATTTCACTAATTTGTAATTTATTTTGGGCACTCAGGCCATAACTAATCTCTTTGGGCCAAAAGGATAACTATTTATTGAAATTAATCTATTTGTCTATCTATTGAAATTTACCAAACTATATATTGAAATGTGACACATATCACTCATTCAACAACTTATTTGTTGAATATCACATATTTCTCTATCACACCACCACCACCTGTTGCTGCCGGCGACTTTTTCGGCCAATTTAGTGGTGACTTTTCTAGCACCAATGACTTTTTCCGAAAACTTTTTTTGATGATCTTTCCGGCTTGCCCTTATTACCTAACAATATTTTACTTTAGATCTAATGTCTTATACTCCCAAAGGATGAATTTTTTACCAATTTTTTTTATTTATATTTTAATTTGTTACTCTTTGTTTTTATTTTTTTTATTTTTATTTTTTTTCTTGGAGAATATTTTGGTTAAAAAGAATAGAAGTAGGATAAGAAGTTGGGAGCTAAAGATAAGGGTATGAGTGGAATTTTGAAAAGTGTGACGAGATATAATTTTAAAAAAAATTAAATTTTAAAAGGAATGCTAATTAAAAAGGAAAAATTTTAAAATAGTGGGACAAATAAAAAAAATTACAAGAATATGTAAGGTGCAAGTTTGTGAAAAAAAAAAAATTCCCTCTCGAGTGAATGTAATTCACCCTTAAAAAAATGAGCATTTTTTTAATTTGATTTTGAGTGATTCTATTTACACCACTAGTTTATCTCTTTATACCCTCTATATGAGATTTTTTTTCCAAATCTTATTCATGTGTGAAATTACTTTTAAGGACAAAAGACTAAGTTAAATATATTTTATTATTCCCTTACACCCATTACTTTTCAATTCTTACTACTCTTCTTCTCTTCTCAGTTTTTCTTCTCTGCTACATATCTCTTTTCAAAAAGTGAAAATCATAGTGTTTTAATCATAGAAGAAAGCAATGGATGAAAAAATGGTAGTAAAGAACCATCAAAAAAGTGAAATGGTGAATTTTTTTATTTGTTTAATATGCTTTCATTTTGTTTTTTTGAGAAAGTTCTTCAACTTTTGTTTGGTGTGTCAAAATCAAATAAAATAAAATAGTTTGGAATTATATTGCTGAACAAAAAATATATGTTCGGTAACCCATGGCCAAATAAAAGATACATTTCAAATAACCCAAGGCTGAACTTTTTTAATTTGTTTGGTTACTCATTACCCTGCATTTCCAGTTTCAGTTACCTATACTTCAAATACAAAGAGATTAAGGGACAACAACAACCAATAAGTAGTGACAGAATCCACGGAACCTAAGTCCGGATACAATAATTTAAAGAGAACAGACCGGGGTCGCTATAGATTATACTTTTATTCATTGCAGCAATGCAAGTACAATCATCCGACTACTGAACATCTTGAAGGGCACTCATTTACTGGTAGATTATCTGAAGAGGAAATATCCTTGTTAGTTGACATGTCAAAGAGTATGGTGCGACCAAAAGAGATATCGATAACATTCAAACGAAGGAATGCCTTTAATGCAACCAGAGGAGGACTTAAGAAGGGACCAAGGGGGTTTCAGAATTCCTTTTTTTTTTTTTTTTTAAAACACAAAAAATAAATTGGCCCTCGCCCTATCAAAAAAAAAAAAAAGAAAAAAAAAATGCAAAAGGAAAAGTGTTTACCAAACACGTGCGGTGGGTCATGCCCTCCACTCAATCTCTAAATTTAAGATGTATATACATACATCCTGTACCCCATTTCTTTATTTATATCACATCACTTTGCTTTCTGCTACTACTATAGTCTTCCTTTCGACTCTTTGACTCACTGTTGCTTCGACTCATGGCGAATCGGGACCATACCACACAGGGGACCACACTACAACTCTCAACCTTTTCTCTCCATTGTTTGCAAGTAATCTCTCTCTCTAATCTTTTACTCTTAAATGAAAATTAAATGTATTGATTTATATGGTTATTTGTGGTTAAAATGATATGTTTTGATTTGTTAAATTTAGAAAAAGATTTATTTGTGATTATTTATGTTAAAATTAGAGATTTTGATATGCTAAAATTAGGGTTTTTGATTTGTTGTGATTTGTTAAGGATTTAAAATTAACAATAAAATTAGGAATCTTGATTTGTGGTGAGTTATATGAAATTTGGAGTTTTGATTTGTTGTGATTTGTACTAAAATTAAGGATTTGATTTGTGGTGATTTGTACTAAAATCACGGATTTAATTTATACTAAAATTTGGGATTTGATTAACGGTGATTTATATTAAAATTGGGGATTTTGATTTATTGTTATTTGTGTTAAATTTAGGGATTTTGATTTGTGTTAAAATTGGAGATTAGGGTTTTTGATTAGGGGGTTTTATTTTTATTTTAAAACAAACATGGAGAAATATTTCAAAAGGAAATCAAAGTTTGAGTCATCTATTCCTCAAAAAGAAGATGATAATTCTTCCTCTGCAAAACAAAGTCGTATAGAAATCAACTTGACAGACCTTCTTGCAAATCCAGGATTACGACCTCGGATTATGGACTATAACCCTAATGATCAAGACCAAATCTGTAGAGCATATCTACAAAAGGGTCCTTGTCAACCTCGTGATCGTAATTTCCCACAAAAAGCATTTTGACAAAAACTTCGATGATTTAATCAAGCTTGGTTCAATGAATTTCCTAATTGGTTAGAGTATAGTGTAGCGAAAGAGGCGGCATTTTGTCTATGTTGTTATCTTTTCAAGCTTGATATTGGAGATGAAGCGGGTGGTGAAGCTTTTGTTGGTGAGGGTTTCTCAAATTGGAAGAAAAAATAAAAAATTCAAACTCATGTGGGAGGCCCCAATAGTGCTCATTATCAAGCTTGGGGTAAATGTCAAGACTTGTTAAACAAAAAGAAAAATGTTCAAACGCTTTTTTCCAAACAATCTGACCAAGCTTGAATTAAATATCGAACTCCCTTGAATGCATCGGTTGATTGTGTTAGGTTTCTTCTAAGACAAGGACTTGCATTTCATGGTCATGATGAATATGAAAAGTCAAGTAGCCAAGGAAATTTTCTTGAACTCTTGAAGTTTCTTGATGATTACAATGAAGATGTCAAAGTAGTTGCTTTAAGCAATGCACCACAAAATCTTAAGTTGGCAGCTCCTGATATTCAAAAAGATATTGTTAGTGTGGCTGTGTTTGAAACTATCAATGTGATTTGTAGAGAGCTTAGTGATGCACTGTTTTCTATTTTGATTGATGAAGCTCGTGATATATCAATTAAGCAAATGGAAGTTGTAATACAATATGTAGACAAAATAGGCCAATTGATCGAGCGTTTTATTGGTATCGAGCATGTTGCCAATACTATTGCTCTTTCACTCAAGCAAGCTATGGAAAATTTATTTTCTAGACTTGGATTGAGTATTTCTAGATTATGGGGTCAAGGATATGATGCGGCTAGTAATATGCAATGTGAGTTAAATGGTCTTAAAACACTTATATTGAGGGAGAATCCATGTGCATATTATGTTTATTGTTTTTCTCATCAATTGCAATTGGCTCTTATAGTCGTGGCAAAAAATCATAATCAAGTTGCCTTACTCTTCACTTTGGTTACTAATGTGGTGAATGTTGTTAGAGCATCATGTAAACGTCGAGATATTCTTAGGGATAAACAAGCAGCAAAAGTTGTTGAGGAAGTTAATATGGGAGAGCTATCAAGTGGGCAAGGCTTTAAATCAAGAAACCAATCTCAAACGTGTTGGTGATACACGTTGGGATTCACACTATGGTACTTTAGTCAACTTGGCTGGTATGTTTTCAACAGTGATCGATGTGCTTGAAATGATTTCAGTGGATGGTTCAAATTCAGAACAATGAGTAGAAGCAAATGTGTAACGCCCTCAAAATAAACCCATTATATATATATATCATTGACATGCATTATTTAATGAAAACATTTTATTAAATCATTCATCAGAGTATTACTAAATAAAAGCATCACATGTAACATCGAATAAAATGCCCTACAGGCTTACATCTTTCCAAGCCAACACTTGGATACAAAAATATGAGTTCTAACTCAATACAAGAAAAGCCCTAGGCTTGAATGTTTACATGTACTAATAATTTAAGACAGTTAACTAAAAGTAGTCTTCTTCAATCCAGAAGCCAAACCCTCCCAAGCTAATTCCTTGGAGGTAGTTTATCACCTGAACCTGAAAATGATGTTCCCATAAAGGATGAGCCACAGCCCAGTAGAAATATACTAAACCACATATAAGCAATGAATAAAACAATAGCATTCAACAGATGGTTAACCAAGATAATGAAATTTTGTGATGAACAAGATGGCAGTGATGATGAATTGGATTGAAGCACACATAAGAGTGATGCTAATGGAGTCCATCCCCTATCTCCTCCCAAACAAAATCCGGTTTAGAGGTCCATCCCCTATCTTCCCCTAAACCGTGGAGTACATCCCCTATCTCCTCCCACACAAAACAATGTATGCAAACACATAACATACACAACACACAATCAATACACGTAATGTCTGTATTAATGCAACAGTCAAGATTGATGACTTAATCAATGATTAGTTTCAGTTATCCCTAATCCACATGCAGAGTCTACAACAAGCACGACTATCCTCCACCGATAGCCCAAAACAGTTATTTCTAGACTTGGAAATAAATATACCAACAATTCAATAGACGAGAGATTTAAATTAATCAACTACGCCATTTAATCAATAAATTACCCATTTCCATGAATTAAATATACAACTTAATTTATTAATTCAACTAGGGTTTTTCCCAAAATTATCAAAGTAACCCCAACATATCAATATACCAAAACTTAGAACAAAACCTATAAAATGGAGTAGGAAATCCCTACCTCGAAGAAATAACCCCAAAAGAGAAGATGGAGATGAATGCCCAAACTCCAAAGTGCTCCAAACTACCAACAAATCAGATTAAATGGAAGCCCTCGACCCACTCTAGCTTTTTAATGAAGAATCTAGGGTAGAAACACACCCTAAGTGGATCAAATCTAAGAGAGAAGGTGAGTAGGGAGAGAGAGAAGTCGAACCTAGGGTTTAGAACCAAAAAGAATAAGAAAAAGACTGATCAAATCTCGCTGCTGCGAATATATACTGGACAGGCTCGCTCGAGCGAAGACTTGGTCGCTCGAGCGACCAGACACAGAGAAACAACGCTCGAGCCAAGGAAGCCTTGCTCGAGCCAACAACTCAAAAGCTCGCTCGAGCGAAAGAAAGCTCGATCGAGCGAAGAACTCAAACCCTCAGGTCTGAATCAAGACACACGCTCGAGCGAAGGAACTATTGCTCGAGCGAAAAACGAACTAACTCGCTCGAGCGAAGAAAATCTCGCTCGAGCCAAGAATGCATAGCTACAGGTCCAAACCAGACGCAAACTCTCGCTCGAGCTACCAAACCCTGGCTCGAGCGAATAACCAAAAACAACAGCTCGCTCGAGCGACAAACTCCTCGCTCGAGCGAAGATCTAAAATTCTGGACAGCAACACTTGATTCCTAAACCCAACCAACCTGAAACAAACCTGCCCAACACATCCTATAATTCCAAATGAGAAAATAAGGGACAACAACAACCATCATACAAAGACAGAATCTACGGAACCTATGTCCGGACACAATAGTCAAATGGGAAAAGACCGGGGTCGCTATAAAATGTGTTGTTGGACTCAATTCAATCTTTTGAATTTCTATTCAATCTTCATTTGATGAGAACGATATTTGCTATTACAAGTGAGTTATCACAAGCATTACAAAGGAAATATCAAGATATTGTTAATGCTATGAATTTGGTTCAAGTTTATAAAAGGTGACTCCAAATGATGAGGGAGAGTGTGTGGACCTCTTTACTTGCTGATGTTTCATTTTTTTGTGAAAAACATGAAATTGATGTTCCCTAAATGGATGATATGTTTGTAGCTCAAGGGAGAAGAAGTCATAAAGCTCAAGAAATTACAAATTTATATCACTATCGCGCTGAGTTATTCTACACTATTTTGGATATGCAACTTTAAGAACTAAATGCTCATTTCACTGAGTCAAACACTGCGTTGCTACTTTGTGTGGCATGTTTGAATCCATCCAACTCATTCTCTAATTTTGTGTCACGACCCAAACCCGCCCCTATAGGTTTAGCGTCATAACCAGCCAGTAATCCGTGATTACCAAAGGCCTTCTTATCAATAAGACAATAAACTAATGAAAGGGGCTAGCAAAAGCCAATCAATATCGTCCAATGAGTCGTGAAGACTTAAATGAACAAAACAAATTTCACATACTTGTGATTACACAAATACTTAAGTCCATAACACACTTGTACAAGCTAGGAAATTAAATCCCATTGCCAAAAACAGTTAAGAAAACTCAAAAAACATTCTTATTTCTTAAACACAATGTCAAAATGGTGAATCTGAATCACCCAATAAGCCTTGACATGCAAAAGTTCAGAACCTCGCAATGAGACACAACAGTTGGCTTGACAGAAATAGGTTTCAGGTTGACGCCGCTAACTCTGATCCGATACTCGATCACCTACATACATATAATAAACAATGAGCTAGAGCCCAGTGAATAACAACTATGTAAAGGGGTTATGAATGATGTACTTACAATAATTAAAACAATCAATTCATCAATAGATCAATTTCCCAATCAATGTTTCATATCATTTCGATTCATTTCAATTCATAATAGTCATACGTGGTACGTCTAATGGCAGAACAATCTATAGGTCTTAAGGACCGAACAATCATTTGATGGCCATCAATGTAATAACAATAGTTCCAAAAATTGGAATTGACAGAGATCTCTGTAACAATAACGATAACAATATGCTATGGATGCCATGAGTACAGTTCATAAAATAGGACAGTCATTCATCAATAAACATTATCAATTCAGTAAAACAATACATTTTTATCAATCAGAAAATAATTATAATGGAACATAGCTTTACAACAGTATTACTCACAGTGGCTCCCTGAAACACGTGTTAACGATGCACTAAGGATGTGGCGTCCGACCTAAACAAACACATCAAGAACAACAACTCAATACACAGTTCATTTATTCAATCGGTTCTATTCACTTATTCGGTTTCTATTCGTTGTCCACTCGTTCGGTTCTAACATTTTGTTCTTTCATTTCAATCAAGTTCATGAGATGCGAATACATATGAAAAACACTTTAAACCATGAAAACGAAGGCCCGGAAGATAGAAAAATAGAGCGAAAACAAAACTGGGACCGCCTTAACAACCACACGTGTGGGGGCACTAGCCGCACGTGCAAAACCACCAGTCGCACGTGCAAAACCACCACCACACACGCGCCCCGTGCGTGCAATTAGTTCAATATTGAAGCTCAAATCTGCCCTGTTTTCTGTACGTGTGGGACCCCAGGTCGCACGTGCGGTTTTGGGTCTGTTTGGTTCGAAAATCTGTCTCATTTTTGAAGTCTCAAGTTTACAACTCCAACTCAAATTTCATGCAATTCAAGACCCAAAACCTTTCATGAACATAGTGAACTTAACATATCTAGCTTTAAACAAAATTATAACTTCAATCAAAGCAAAGTTTTCCATGCAAGAGCTTCAAGTCTTATATTGTAATGAAAGTTCATAAAGCTTGTACATTTTGAGCTTCAAATCTTCTTAAATTTCATGATGCATGTGCAATTAAAATTCTAATTTATGCAGGACAACAAAAAGCAAACCCACAATATGGTTAATTCTAATTTAATTACTACAATTTGAATTTAATTCAATTCCTTCATCTTTTTACTAATTTCTTTTAAATTACATGAAATTGATTCTTAAACTCTTTTCTATTTTCCTCTAAATCTTGAAATTGGAGTTATGAAACTTGGCATGTATGAAATTAAGATCAACACTAACTAATTATAATTAGAATTGCTCTAATTTGGATTTTTATTAATTTTCTTCATATTAAACCCATAAACGTTTTAAACGTTAATTAACATCTCAAACCCTTGAAATCCTATGATGCATGTTTAATTAGATTATTAAACTTGTAGAATTTTCCCATGCATGTAACAATGAGGCTTAATTTTATGCAAGACTACATCATTAAACCCAAAATAATTAATTTTCATAACCATGAACCTAACTTAATTTCTTCATCTTTGTTTCCTAATTTCTTCCAAATTATATGAAATTGAACCTGTGTGTACTGATTTTTGACCACACTGCTAAATGGGTACTCAGCTGGAGAGCACTGGCAGAATAGATTGCGCCCGAATGACCTGTCACAGAAAGATAAGACTCTGGCGGTGATTCGTTCACCCGGGGGCACTTCGACGATCAAGTCAGTAATCAATATCTCTCAAAGATAACCAATTGTGCTTAACTCACAAGCCAGAATACAAAAAGCGTACCTTAGACCCACGAGGGTGCCCTTCCTTCTATAGCCACCATTAACCTGATCCCTATAGAAGCCTAGCTCCTCTTGGACTCTGGCTTAATGCTTATCCAGGACTCTCCAATAGATAAAGATAAACTCCCTAAGAGCTTTATCCTTATCCAGGCCAAAGTCCTCTCCCATTCTAGGACTCTTGTTCCCTATCCGTTCATCTCGAATTCTGATATCTCCACAGATAACCTCGGCCTAGCTGAGATTACCTCGGCGTCAAGTCAAGGACACGTGGCACCTCGGCTGGCACTTCGGTGCCACCTTGGCCACGTGTTGCTATCCAAAAAATATGTCCCCACAACTGCCCCCTAGGTTCTATTACCTTGGCATCCTGAGGTGATGGAACCTATATCGTCAAACCATATAACATGTCGACTAAGCTGGCTCTATTCTTTATTGCCGAGGTTATTACTTGTCGGTTCCATATGTCCAAGTCTTGTAGTCTGTTTGCATCAATGCCTTAGAGCCAGGAACCAAGTTTTTTCAAGTTTCTTTAACCGACATTGTTCCCTTAGCTGAGGTCTTTACTTCATTAAATCAAGAACTCCAAGAGTTTTTACACGCGTATGAGCTGTCACGCACAGTAATTCAACCGTTTTTGCCATGCTTCTCTTCCCTATTGAACCGAACCTGACACGCGCCATCAAGTCGCATCGCACTTGCATGCCCCGTCTGACAAGCACGTTGTCCTAGGTACACTAATTGTGATTTGCCGCCTTTTCGTGTTTTGACAAAATTACTTCCCTCTCTCTTCGTCGTTTCACTTTCGTATCTTTGTCTTTGCTCAAGTTCTCTCTCTCTACTCTCTCAAATCCTCCATTGTTTCAAGCTCTTAAGCTCTGCAACTACTCTGTTCACCTCCTCCGGCGAAGCTTTTACTACTCTTCGCCGTTTGCTGCCATTGTCTGACCCCGGTGTACTTTGCACCGGCTTCATTTTCTTCGGTGAGTTACTATTTTCCCCCTCTTTAGTTTCATACTCTATTGCCTCTGCTTATTCGTCATGATGAATACATTCATAGTCTCATGTCTTTGTCTGTGTTTTGAATTCCATCCTTTGTATGCTTAAACATGTTATGCTTTATCTATTTCTGAGGATACACACACTCACATGTTGTTCATACTTTTGATGTTCTTGATTTTTGTTTTCTGGGTTCTGAACCAAATACAAATATTTGGTATTCTGCCACAATTTTTGGCTTTGTATATCTGTACATTTTTTGAAAAATGTTCTTGAATTCTTGCTTTCTTCATGAGTCTGAATCATGTTCTTGTTTCTGTTTTCTTGTTTGTATTTTGCCAAATTCTTGCCTCCAATTTCTTGTTTCCTCATAGATTTTAGGCTTGGATTTTGATAGAAGCCAATATCCCTAGGAAGATTGGAACAAATTTCCCTAGCTCTTTAAAAAGCCCTAGCCCCTGCTTCTGCTCTGAGTTTAAGCCGATGTTCCTTAAACCTTAACAAACCACTTCTTTCTGAAATCCAACACTTTCCCACTTAGCCGACGTTGTGGGTATGTTCAGGTGGAGGGTAGACACCCCAACTAAGCTAGCATACTTTAGGCAGGAGTTTTCCATTCCTGCCAACGTTCATCTCAGGTTGGCTGGGGAGGAGGACTCCATCATGCCCAAAGACGACTCCATGCCATTCCCAGTAGTAGCCTTCATAGAGTGTGGACTTAGGCTCCCTCTTGACATCCTCTTTCGAGAAGTCCTCCACTATTATAAACTCATCCCAATGCCATTAGCCATTAACTCTTACAGAGTCATCAACGGTATCATTGCCTTAGCTAGCTGAGAAAATGCTAGGGTAATTCTAGTCGACATCCTGTACTGCTACACCATGTGTGGCCTTAAGTTAGAAAAAGGCTATATTTACTACCTTAAGCCGAGGTCGACATAATACAAACTCATCGTCGACCTCCCTGATTCCAACAAGGGCACCGGGGATGATTATTTCATCGTCTTGGGCAACTGGGAGTTCCCACCAGATGATGACCTTCACCTCTATCCCCTAAGACGAACAATTTTCAAAGAGGGAGATGGTAAGAGCCAAGTGTCACCTTTACTTGCTTTCAAGTCTTTCTTACTTTGATATTTTTGTATGCTCTAGCCTCTACTTGTTTTTATTTTGCAGTGTTTCTTTAACCACCCAAGGACTTCCGCAAATCCTTCTATCCCAGCAAGGATTTCAAGAAGTTGTTGGGTTTGCCAATTGACAACGGAAAGCACCTTTGCTGCTCAACTACATCCCAACCTACAAGTCCATACTTCCCGATGTCCCAAGAAAAAGCAAGTCTCCTCTTTCAACAACAACTCCTCAAGCTAAATCATCAAGGCCTAACCAAGGATCAACATCTGGTCCTGTGGAGCAACCATCAACCTCTACTCTACAACTAATCCCACCTTCTCAACGCCAACACCGACGTCGAGCTCCATTGTTCGCACCGGCAGGCAGGACTCAAAGCTGAAGACGCCGAAGTGCCAAGGCGTCCTTATATGATCTAGCTAACCCCTAACTGCACTTCCAGTGATCCATTTCGACACTAAGGTCACCGTTGTCGTAGCCGCTGACTAGATGGGTCGTAAAAAGGCTGTAGCAGACGACCTTCTAGCCGACATCCCCAACATCGTCACCGTACAATCTTCACCATCGCAATCTCAGCCAAAGCCAAAGCCAAAAAGGCTGAAGAAAACCCAAGCAAAGGCAACTGTAACTCAGATCGATTCTAAGGATATCTTGCCGATCTCAAAGATGGCCGAGGTGGACAAAGTGCCTCTGCCGCCAAAAAGAGGCCTACAAAGGCTAATCCCTTTGAATCCACCTAGTCAAAGAAGCCGAGGTCAGAGTCTGCTACAACCTCTAGGTCCCTAAAATCAGATGCCCCTTGGGCCCCTCCAATCACCATTGAGGACAAGCCAGTTAGAGTCGGCGACAACGCGACTGACATTGAAGTCGGCGTTGCCCTCTCTACTGCCTTGTTCCTTCCAAAAGACCTCGAACGCAATGCCGAGGTCAACGAATATGAAAACTTCACTCTGATGGTGCAGCACTCCGTACAAGTAAGCCCCTAACACTTGGTACTTTTCATTCTCTATTTTTCCATACTTAGAGTTTTATTAACTTTTGTTCTGTCCATTTCTTCTAGGTGATCCAGCACGCCCACTCCTTCACGATGTAGGCTTTTGACATTAAGAAGGAGTTGGTCAACAAGACCGAGGAGGCTGCTGGCTTGCTGAAGACCGTTAATAAGGCCGAGACCAAGATGAAGACTTTGATAGATTAGGCCAATGCAGCTAGAAAAGCTCAAGACGAGGCCAGAGAGAAGGCAGGAGTTGCTGAGGTCATTGCTAAGGTCCTTGAAGCTGAGAAGAAAAAGGCTGAAGCAAAGACTGCCAAAGCACAAGCCGAGCTCATTGTTGTATTGGCCACAAAGGACGCCGAGATCAAAGCTGCAGACAAGAAAGCATACACCAAGGGGGCAGCCGACGTCCGCGAGGACTGTAAGAAGCAAGTGAAATAGGCATGCAACTAGGGTTTCACCCTCGGTTGGATGGCTGCCTTAAAGGAATTGGCTGTCACCGAGGACTCAACTCTCTGAGATAATAGTCTCATCGTCCTGCCATTCCCCCCTACTCCAAGCCAATCCGAGGACGAGGCTAAGTCTGAGGAAGATGTAGATACCAACAAGTCTGGGAAGGTCGAAGCTGCTGGGGCCAAGTCCCCAACTCTGAATGAGCAGGTTTTAGACTTGACTTAGGATGAGGGGGACAAGGTCTCAAAAGAAGATGCCTCCTACAGGAAGACAATATCCGACGCGCCTATCGTCGAGAAGAACATCGACCAGACTCTTGAAGAGATTGATGCTGAGCTCGCGGCTGAGAAGGCTGCCGAGAAGAGTTCCCATATGTCTTCTAAGAACCAAACCCTTCCAGCTGATGACGCCGAATAGTCCTGCCATTAACCCTTTCTTTGTACTTAGTAATTTTCTGAACAATGTTTTCAGTTTTCATATTTGGCCGACGTGCCACTTTTGTAATCAGAACAAGTAGTCTTTATATAGGCCAAAGTGCCCTTTTTCTTCTTTTAATGCAAGTACAACTTCTTTTTTCAAGTGTTTGAATGCTTTGTCTTTCCTTTACAGTCTTGTATGGTTCCATACTTAGAATATTTTGCATGTCTTCAAAGTACACCTTAACTGTGTAATCTTTTTGGGGTAAAATACTTCGGATATATCTGCTGAATGTTTATCTTAGCCTTATCTTAACACTTGAAAAACATTGTAAGAAAGTTTTCACAAGTGTTTATCTAAAACATGCCACTTCATTCTCACTTATCAAGACTTTTGTCTTCCATTACCTTCCAAGTCTTGGCAACATGGTAATCTTAGCAACATGGTAATCTCGGCAATTACGTAGATACTTCTTTCAACATAACCTTGGCCTAACTTCAACTTGTAAATTTTTCTTAAAATTTCAACAAGTGTTAAACCAATTTTTCTTTCAACATGACCTCGGCTTAACTTCAACTTGTAAATTTTTCTTAAAATTTCAACAAGTGTTAAACCAATTTTAGCTTGTAAATTACAACTTCCAAGCATTATTCTCCAACTCTCTGCCCCCTAATGTGAATTTAAGTTTCACTTATGTTCACATTAAGTATGTACCTATGATATTGTCGCTGAGATCAAATTCAAACAAAGACTGCCGAGGTTATCAACCTCGGTCTGTGTTAATCTAACTGATATGTATTTAGTGTCATTCAAAGTTTTCATTCTGTCGACACAACAAATCTAGGTTAATTCAACTTAATTCAACTTGATTATATGCAAGTACAATTCAACTTTGTCATATAATAAGTCTAAGTTATTCGTCATATTTCAATCAGAATCATCGCCAACTTAGTTCAACTCTATTATATGCAAGTAAAATTCAACTCTGCCATATAATAAGTCTAAGTTATTCGTCATGTTTCAATCAGAAACATCGCCAACTTAATTCAACTCTATTATATGCAAGTATAATTCAACTCTAAAATATAATAAGTCTAAATTATTCGTCATGTTTCAATCAGAAACATCGCTAAGTGACTTGTCAATCGTTTTACACAAGTTTGAATAAATCGAGCTAAAATTTTATTAATTACTTCGGCTGATAACAAAAGATTTTAAAAAAAGAAACAAAATGAAATCTTAATGATAGAAGAACTTCAGGTTGCAAGTATGCCAGGGTCTTGGCAATTCTTTGCCTTCATAGTCTTCAAGTCGATATGCCCCATTGCCCAAGACCGAGATGATTCTATAAGGTCCCCCGTAGTTTGGGCCAAGCTGCCCTCTTTTGGATCCTTCTTGTTGCCGACGACCTTTCTTAGGACGAGGTCCCCAACTTGAAACTCTCGTGGGTTGACCTTTTTGTTGTAAGCCTTGGCAAGCAGCTGCTGGTATACCCCCAGCTGAATTGCTACTTTCTCCCTTCTTTCTTCTAATAGAACCGGATCTCGGGCTAAAAATGCATCATTAGTCCTATTCTCCACTCCCTGGGTTCTGACCCCTGGGATGCCGACCTCCAATGGGATTACTGGCTCTGCACCATAAGCCATGGCAAATGGGGATTCTCCAGTTGATCTTCTCAGCGTAGTCCGATATGCCCAGAGTACACTGGGTAACTCATCCACCTACTTTACCTTTACTGCTTCCAGCCTCTTCTTAATTCCATCCAATATAGTTTTGTTGGATGCTTCTGTCTGTCCATTGCTTTGAGGGAAGCTTGGAGTGGAATAGTAGTCCTTGATCTTGTACTTTGCACATAAGCACTTGATTAGCTTACTGTCAAACTATGTACTATTGTCTGCTATTATTGCCCCTGGGATCCCAAATCTGGTGATGATGTTCTTCTATATGAAGTTTTTTACATCAATGTCCCGAATCGTTGCGAGGGGTTCAGTGTCAACCCACTTGGTAAAGTAATCTGTTGCCACTAGCAGGAACTTCCTTTGTCCAGTTGCCTGAGGTAGCTATCCAACAAGATCCATGCCCCATTGGGCAAATGGCCAAGGGCTGGATACTGGGTTTAAATCTGCTGCTGGTTGGTATATCAAAGGTGTAAACCTCTGACACTTCTCACACTTTCTGACATAAGATTCAGCATCTTTCTGCATATAGGGCCACCAGTATCCCTGAGTAATGGCCCTATGAGCAAGTGACTTGCCCCCTGTGTGGCTTCCACATACTCCTTCATGTATCTCATACAAAAGTCTTCAACTTGTGAAGCATGTACACACCTCAAAAGGGGTCCAGTAAAAGATCTTCTGTAGAGATGCCCTTCTGTTGTTAGACCAAATCTTGCCAACTTCAGTCCAATCTTGTGTACTTCTTTATGATCATCTAGCAATGTTCCCTCTTTAAGGAATACTATTATTGCATCCATCTAGCTTGGTCCCATCTCTACACACATTGCTTCATGCTCTGTGTTCAGTGGTTCTACACTTGGACCTAACAAGTAGTCAACCATTATTTTCCTTGCCTCTCTTGGTTTCATTGCACTATCCAGGTTGGCCAAGGCATCAGCATGGCTGTTGTCATCTCGGCCGACTTGCTGTAGTCGGCAATTTTGGAACAATGCCATCAGTCTGCTCACCTCCTTTACATAGGCCACCATCTTTTCATCTTGGGTGGAGTATTCGCCTATTGCCTGGTTGATGATAAGTTGGGAGTCACAAAAGACCATTACCTCATCGGCTTCAATTACTGCTGCCAATTTCAATCCTGCGATCAGGGCTTCATACTTTGACTCATTGTTTGAGGCCTTAAACCCCAAATGAATGGATTGTTGAAGAATCTGTCCATATGACGATACTAGCACTACTCCTGCCCCCGCTTCTTGTCGGTTTGAACTTCCGTCAACGAACAGGCGGAAGGAGTCACTGACGTAAATACTGCAGGGCTTGAGTTTCTCTTCTTTCCTCTGTTTGGCTATCCCCAACTGGGTTTCTCCTTGTTCACCTGGACATCGTATACCTCGGCTCAATGGAGCCCGATGTATGATGGTTCCTGGTGTGAACTAGGCCACGAAGTCGGCCAAAACTTGGCCTTTGATTGCTGTTCTGGGTTTGAATTCCAAGTCATATTGGCCCAACACCACTGCCCATCTGGCTATCCTTCCTATCAGTTCTCCTTGCTGCAGCAGGGACTTTAATGGATGCTCAGTTAGCACCACAATCTTGTGAGCTTGAAAGTAATGATTCAGCTTCTTGAAGGCCATTACCAAAGCTAGTGTTAGCTTTTCCAAAGGTAGATATCTGGTCTCTGCATCTACTAGGGTTTTACTCATGTAGTAAACTGCCATTTGTTCTTCATTTTCTTCTCTGACTACCACTGCACTTACTACATGCTCTAAAACTGCCAAGTATAAAAACAGCTCCTCTCCAGGTACTGGGTTTGAGAGAACTGGAGCAGTGGTCAGGTATTTCTTCAAGTCGGCCAAAGCGACTTCGCACTCCTCTGTCCATAAGAAGTCTGTGGCTTTCTTTACTAAACTGAAGAAATGTTTGCATTTGATAAAATTTCTGCTTATGAATCTATTTAGGGCTGCAGCCCTTCCAGTCAACATCTACACTTGCTTTGCCGACGTTGGGCTCTTTAACTCTAAGATGGCCTTGATTTCATCCGGGTTTGCCTCAGTGCCCTTTCTGGTGACCAAGTATCGCAGGAACTTCCCTGACCCAACTCCAAATGCACACTTCGATGCATTGAGTCGAAGCCGAAATGTCCTTAGGATATCAAAGACTGTCTTTAGGTCGGCCAAATGATCTTCAGGTTCCTTCATAGCGATCCCGGTTTTACCCCGACCTTTATTATGTTTCAGACTAGGGTTCTGTGATTATATATTGTTGTCTATGTCTTGTTTCCTCCCTTTAATTCTTTGAATTTGAGTTTTGGGACTTGTTGGGCGAGTTTGAAACAGGTTGGTTGTCTTTTAGTACAAATAGTTGTCGCACAGATTTTTGCCTCTTCACTCGAGCGAGGCTTGTGAAAATGTTTCTTCGCTCGAGCAAGGACTCTTGCGCTTGAGCGTGCGTTTGTGTTGGGTGGCAGACCTGAAGCTTGCATTCTACGCTCGAGCGAAGCTTCTTGCGCTCGAGCGAGGCGACATTTTTGTGTCTGGTTGCTCGAGCGAAAACTCTTTCTCTCCAGCGAGCCTGGTGTACATCAGTTTACAGCAATGTTGTTTTGCTTCATTTTTGAGCTCATTTCTCACTCACAAACCCTAAAGCTGTAGCTTCTCTCTTAGAAGCCACCTTCTCTCTAAGGTTTCATCTAAATCCATTGTGTACTTGACCATAGTGTCCTTGAGAATAACGTAGAGGGCTTCAAGAGCTTCGTGTTGATCTAAGTAAAAGTGGGTTTCATCATTTTTGGAGTTCAACCTTACTTTGCGCGTCCTCTCTTCTTGAGGTAGGGAATTTCTATACTGTAATATGGTTTTTAGTTTAGTTATTTGCTATTATGTATAGATGATGAGATTTGGTAGTGGTTTGGACAAATCTAGGATTATGGTGTGAAATGAAATGAGGGGTTTTGATGAGTATGAGGTAAATGAGTATGATGCTTGAATATAAGATCATGTTGTGCCAAAATAGTTGATTTTGGTGTTTGGGTTGATATATGTTGTAAGGGGGATTTTGCCTTAATTTTGATTAAAGTATTATTTTGTATAAATAATTGGAATTAACATTAAAAATGTGAAATTGAAGAGTTATGGTTATAAATGGTGATATTAGATATGTATTATCTCACCTATGGAAGTTTTGAATAAACTATCTATTTCGATATTGAACATCTCTTTTGAAATAATTGCATTGGGCTATTGATGGAAGATAACTATGATTGTTGTAGAAATTATATGAGGATTAGGCGATTTAATGCTAATCCATTATTGGTGTCATTTGAATATG